GGCATCTTCTCATTGTAAGAATAGTTGTGGTCTATAATTGATAACTTCACTGTTTCATATTCAGGAACAGTAAACAAGAGTCAGACAGATTCAGGGTAGCTCAAAATGTCACAGCAGTGAATCTGACATTTCTTTCGAAGATGTAATATTACATTCATTCTAGTATCTTCTTCAGTACCTAGTATTTGGATATAGAAAAATAATATTGCTTGGTCGGACAGTACTATTTACAAATTGTAAGCCCTCTTGCTTGCGAGATACAACTGGTATTTTTCTTTCTTTAGACCTAAATTGATTTTAATGCACTTTGCTACAGAGTCACATTCATTTCAGTCTACCTTTCTTTCAAGAAAAACAACAAAACCCAGAAACAAATGTACTATGATCTTGGAACTCAACATAAATTTTTGATTCTATTAATTATTATTGAATCTTATGAACCTAATGTGACATTAAAGTTTTTAAAATTCTGTTAAGGTAATGCATTTTATTTTTAAAATGATTATTTTAAAATAATATTTAAGCGGAGAGTGATTAGTTTTCTAGGCAAGAGATGATGGTGGCTTGCATTATGATACAGCAGTGGAAATGGCAAGAAGTAAATCAATATCTATTTGTAGGTAAAACCCACAGGAATTCCTGATGGATTAGGTGTGATTTGAAATGACATGCAATAAAATAAAATATTTCCACTAGCCACATTTCAGTTGCTCAATAGCTACTTGTGTCTGGAGAACACCTTATTAAACAGTGCAGTTACAGACCTTCTCCATCATCACAGCATTGTTCTAGGTAAAGATTCATACCCTTTGTTTAGCTCTTTGGAATTGTATGATACTATTTCTTTGATAATTTCTTAACTATCTCTTTTTTTCTCACTTTCTGAAAGTTCTGTTGATACGATATTAGACCCCCAGGATTCTTCAAATCTCTCTTTTTCTCCCCTCTCATAGTTTGGTCTTTGTATTTTTTCCTACTTTCTTTGTCTACCAACCCTTCTGTTGCATTTTATATTTGATCTCAAATATTTAATTTCCAAGAGTTTTTTATTCTCAGATTTTTCCTTTTTCCTAACAACGTATTTTTGCTTTTATAAATGCAGTACCTCTTCTGGGTAAACCAACTGAGGAGTTGTTGTTATGTGTTAGGTTTTTAGTAAGAACTTAAACAGTATTTTAAAAATATTTTTTAAAATGTTTTAAAATGATCGCTGCTACTTATTTTTCCTGGGCCTCTCTTCTTTCCTGCTTGTTTATCCTTTTATGCTGGAGATGTCCCCAAATGTCTGGTGACCATTGATTATCTGTATCACTAAAAAGCAACATCTAGGGGCTGGTCGCCTGGTAAGACTTTCCCTGGGGACATTTTCATACTTGAGTCCTTCTGGTTGTTGGGAGGAGTGTGGAGTGAGACCAGCTGTTCCCTGTACAAACTTCAGCTACTCCCACCAATTTTATTCCTTCATCTTCCTTCCCTTTCCATTTTAACTGGTGTTTCTGAGCCCTGAGCCCTTGTGGAGTTCTGCCAGGATTAATTCCCTTCTTGGCTGGTAGCCTATGGTTCCAAAGTCCAAATTACAAACAAGCAATATTCACAGAGGTTAAACTTCCATTTTTATTCTCTACCTCTAGCTCATCCCTTCCCCCATAGATAACCACTATTATTAATTTTTAGTTTATCTTCTTATTGTTTCTTTTTGAAAATACAGGGAAATATATATGTTTTCCTCCCTTTCTTAGATAAAAGATAGCATATTATACGTATTTTGTATTTTGATAGATTGTTGCTCATCGACAGCAGGGTATGGCAGTCTTCCTCATTCCTTTTATAGCTACATGGTGTTTTCATTATATAGCTGCTTCATAGCTTACTTAACTGGTCTCCTGTTGATGGACATTTGGGTTGTTTCTGGTCCTTTGCTATTAAAAATAGTGTTTCAGTAGCTAGCCTTATGCAAAAACCAAGCTTTGTTTATGTGACGTTTAAAAATCTATGAATAGTTTTTTATACAAGCTGTGGTGTTTAAAACCGAAAATTTAAAAATAAATTATTAATGTATTTAAAATTACAATAATAAACCCATTATTATAGTATTTTTATAAAAATAACTATTTTTCTAAACAAAAATATCTCATGAGAAGAGTGCCATTTTTCCATCTTTTGCAAATCTACTGCAGTACATCATTTTGGTTGAAGCATATAAAGAAAATTTTCATCATACAGAAAAGGGAATGTTAGTAGCTTTTACAGATGATTCTTTGATATTACACCAGAACTCAGAAGTTGGCAATTTCTTAAAGATTAGTTGCAATATGGAATAGAAAATTCCACTGTGGTGGCCTTGATCACAATAAAAATCCTGCAAGAGCCAAAACTCTCGGGAGGGGAACCATCTCTGTTTGGTGGAGCTATGCGGCCAAGAGGGTGGGGCCAGGCCTCCTAGCCTTTTTCTCTCTGTTCTCCTGCCACCAACTTCACAATCCCTCCTAGAGAATGGAAGAGAAGGGAACTTCTCAACTTACTGTGTATGGGCCAGCATTACTCTGATACCGCAATTAGGGGTAGTACAAAGAGAGAAGACTACAGACTGATATCTGCGAACATTGATGCGTGTCCTCAACAAAGCATTAGCAAGTTGAATTCAGCAATATATACAAATTAATGCACTGTGACCATGTCGAAACTTATTCCTAGAATGCAAGACTAGTTCAGTATTGGAAAATAAATCAGTATAATCCACCATACCAACAGTCTAAAGAAAAAAACTGCATGATCATAGCAAGAGATTACAACAACAAAACACTCACACATTTGACAAAACACAACATCCACTCATAAAACATTTTTGGAAAACTAGAAATAGAAGGGAAATGCTTAACTTGTTAAAGGTTACCTATAAAAATCTTACAGCAACCATCATACTTAATGATACAGACTGAATGCTTTCTCTCTAAAATTAGGAGCAAGGTTAAGATGTCCACTTTCAACACTCCTATTCAGCATCATAATGGAGTCTTAGCTAGTGCAGTGTGGGAAAAAAAATAGAGACAGATTGGAAAGGAAGAAATAAAACTGTCCCTGTTGACAGAGAACGTGATTGTCAATGTAGAAAAACTCAAGGAACCTACCCAGAAAACTGACCAACAAAAGTCCCATGACTAATGTAAATTTGGCAGCCTTTCAGAATATAAGGTCAGCATACAAATCAATCTCATTTCTATAATTAGCATTGTACAGTTGGAAATTCAAATGTAAAAGCCAATAATACCATTACACTAGCTCAATGAAAAATGAAAACCTTTATAGGATCTGTATGCTGAGAACTACAAAACTGCTAAAATGTAGTTTATTTGTTATATAAATCATTCTATTCAGTTGTCATTAAGATTTCCTTTGAGGACAGATTTCACAGTAGCAGTAGTGGTTCTGGGTCTGAAGATGGTACCCTCACAGCACCTGCCACCACAAGCTCCCCTCCCTAACCAGCCTGCCAGGACCTGCTCATGCTTAGATTCCCAAGGAGCGCCCTGCTACTGCTTCGCCGATTCACCTCTCTCCTTTGTAATCCAAACTCCAGTGCCTGATTTCCAATTATTGCTAACAACAGTGGTAAAAGCAAGGTTCCTCAGAATCATAGTGACCACAAACTGAACAGTGAACCTATTATTGTCGGAGGGAAGCAGGGGCAATAAAAGCCAATCCCAACCTGTCATTTAAAATCTAACATGGAATCTTATCTTTATGTGTTACATTCAAACAATTATATAACAACAAGCCCTTCGTATGTGCCAGGTCCAGTTCTAAATGCTATGCATGCTGAACTCATTTAATTTTCACAGCAGCCCTAAGAGGTGCTGTGGATAATGAAACCACGTTTACACATGCAGTTCCCAAGAGGTTTAGTCAGTTGCCCGGGGTGACATGGCTCATAAGACAGTGCGAAGCCTAACCCAGGTGGGAGCCTCTAGGAAGGTGTCCAACCTTTTGGCATCTCTGGGCCACACTGGAAGAAGAGTTGTCTTGGGCCACACATTAAATATATTGCGACACGTAATCACGAAAAAAATCTCATAATGTTTTAAGTAAATGGACGATTTCGTGTCAGGCTGCATTCACAGCCAGCCTGAGCCGCGTGCAGCCAGCGAGCCGCAGGTTGGCTACCCCACACCGAGGCTGCGTGCCTAACTGCTCCTCCACCTGCCTTGCCACTACAGCTGAGAATGAATATCGGTCACAACAGTTAGGCAAGAAAAAATTGGAGAGTACTTAGGTAATAATAAAAAAAGTCTTGAAATGGCTGGCAAATAGATCTTGTTGGGAGGGTTAGAGGAATTCAGGTTGTGCAGTTTAAGGAAGAAGAAAATATAACGAGTAAGTTAACTGGGTTTCAAACATATAAAGTATTTTTTTGAAGAAAATAATGAATGTTCTTTGTTAATTGAAGACCGTAAAAGAAGATGTGTAGTGAGAAGATGTGTAGGTATTTAATGTTGAGCAGGAGGAATCACGTCTTGCTGCCCGGTAGGTTTTAGGGATGGTAAATTGGGAGGTTCTGAGGGCTCAGGCCCAAGAGGTAAGTCTAGAATGGATGGCTCTGCTGAAGATGGCTGTGATTCAGTTGGTGATGACTGTAATTTCCCCCATTTAATTTTGAGCAGATGTGTTTCTTCATTCTTATTCTTAATCTAATGGTATTAAAACATCAATAGCATTTAGAACTGAAGACAGGAAGTTCAGCTCCATATTTTGCAGAAAAGAAAGCAGAATCAGAAATTAAATGTGTGTTGTCACTGGACTGCCTACTAAGGGCTAGAACTAAATTTTGAACCCAGGTCTCCTGGCACCATGTCCAGAGCTCAGGCTGCTTTTAGGGGGTATTTTTATAGTCACAGAAGAGAATATTTTTGAGAATTTCTACTTAATACAGTGAGATTGCTGTGTACCTAAGGAATAGGTTATAAGTGTCACTGATTTATGAAATGTCCTTTTTCTTTGTGTAGTATGAACCCAGAGGACCTGGTCGGCCCTTGTACCAAAGAAGAATCTCCTCTAGCTCAGTCCAGCCATGTTCTGAAGAAGTAAGCGCTCCTCAAGACAGTCTTGCTCAGTGTAAAGAGCTGCAGGACCATAATAACCAATCTTCTTTCAACTTTTTATCCCCGGAGTCCTGGGTAAACGCCACCTCATCAACCCCCTATCAGAACATTCCGTGCAATGGATCCAGCAGGGCAGCTCAGCCCAGAGAATTGATAGGTAAGACTAAGTGAGTGGGCTGCTAAAACTGTAGTTTTGAGCTACTCAGCTTCTGGGTATTTATGGAGTTTTCTTCTTCCATCTCCCCCATTTGCATTGCTATGTTTGAACATTACTTAATGGTCATAGCTCATAAGTAGCCTCAGGCATATTTATTAACTTAGGACCATATTGATTCCATATTTATGGTCTAGAAGGTAAGTAGATCTATCTGTATGGGGAACTGATCATTTTGACCTGTGAATGGATGAAAGAGGTAGTGGAACTTAAAATGTATTTCTAAATACGAGTTAGACTCACTTTTGCTTGGGAAAAGTTTGTTTTCTGGGTTTTTTGTTTGTTTTGTTTTGTTTCTTCAGAATGGAGTGGGTGGAGTTGGTTGGGTCAGTATCAGTTTTCAAGGATTTATTGTCAATGAAGTTGTTGACAGCTTGAGACACAGTACAGTTTGGTCATAAGAGAAATCAGTAAAGTCTAACATTTGAGATTAAGAAATCCTTTGTCTATTTCTTGTATTCTAATGAACTGAAAAATCTGAAGCTAAAGAATTTTTTTTTAAAAGGCATAGAAAGGCATTGGAATAGATAAGGCTTTAAACTTGTAATATATGGTTGGATGTCTAAAGTCTTCCTCTTAAGCCTTGAACATGAATGTACTTTTATCTTTAATTTGTTCCCTCTTCTTTTTTTTTTAATGTGTGTATTTTGAATGTAAAGAAATGAATGATACTGTTTGCATTCTCTAATCTATAGCCTTCTGTTTGTAGGCTGTAGGCAATGATCTTTGGGAGCAAGTCTGTGATCTTTGGTGAATTTCTGCCCTGGTAGCAACCTTTGTATTTGAAATTAATCTTGTTCATCTTTAGAATATGAATCCATTGTTTCTGTAACTGACCTTTTTTTTTTACTATATGCTATATACCATATTTTTAGAACATTACATGGTAGGCAAAAAGCAGTAAAAAAATTTTGATTTTGTTTGCCGGTAGGGCATTGTCATTTTAATCTTTAAACATTGATTAGTGCCTACGGTGTAAGCTGCTGTATTTTGCTTGGGGTTGATTTGCATTTTAAAGGCCTAACATAAATATACTCATATAAACATATTTGAATTTCATGAGAAACATCTAACTAAATTTCAAATCACTGATGGAAATTTGTTACTTTTTCCTTGTTTTGTTTATAATAATTTATTTCAAAGACAATGTCATTTCACTCATTTTTCCACCTAAATTTTAGGATAGCTGTTGGCCAAAATGAATAAAAATCTGACCTGAGCAGGTAGAAAGTTCTTGAACAAATGCCCAAAGTTTACATCATTTATGGTATCTTTTACACACATATAAAATTATTTTCTTCATTGCTAGGAGACAAAATGTAGTAATCTATAGTTGAAAGTAACAGTTACGTATTAAAAAATTAATTCAAAATCAATAATATCCTGAAGCACAAGTGCTTGTTTATCAGTATGTATGTATGTATATGTACATACGTATGTATTTATTTCTAGAGGAATGTAGCAATTGCAAGTGGTGACTCAACAGGAAAATATTTTCTCCATAATTGTCAGCCTGAGGGCAGAGACCACGTCTTTGACCTTTTTGAACTTTGGATTTCCCATTTTGGCCCTGATCACATTTTAGGCTGCTGATGCGGAGACAATGAAAACAAATCCTTTGCAGTGAGGGGCAGAGCCAGTCTCCCTGCAGGCCCTTTATGCTTGGTGGTTCCCCGAAGCAGGTGGGGTTGCCTCTCCAACACGGATATGCTTGGGCTCTATTTACCTATCTTACTTTACCATTTTCTTTTGATATGTCGATGAAAATTTAATATTTGATAGAGATACGCATTTTGAAAAATATCATTGCTTATGAAATCAGTAAAATTCATAGTTTTTTAAAAAATCTTCACCTGAAGATATGTTTTATTAATTTTTCTTTTTAGAGAGAGAGAAAGGGGGAGAGAAAAACATCAATGTGAGAAACATCGATCGGTTGTCTCCCATGTGTGCCTCAGTCGGGAATCAAACCTGTAACCTAGGTACGTGCCCTGACTGGGAATGAAACATGCAACGTTTTGATGTAGGGGACAATGCTCCAGCTGAGCCACCCAGCCAGGGCTAACCTCCATAGTTTTAAAGAATAGATTCTCTTAGCTGGTATATACAATAAATTAATAGAGGTCTTGCATTGGATAGGAGGGCAGACATTAAGTTAAACATTATTTTGTAAGTATTAATTATTTAAATGAAAAGATTTTATACTCTGATTAGATTGTCATGAAAATGAGAACATGGTTAAATAATAAATCTTATTAAAGTAAATAAAAATAATATGTGCTCGCCCTGGCTTGCACGGTTCAGTTGGTTGGAGCATCATCCCGTCACTGAAAGACCGCCCCTTCAGTCCCCGGTCAGGATATACGCCTCGGGTGTGGGTTCGGCTGCCAGATCCCTAGTGGGGGAGTGCATGCGGGAGGCAACTGATCAATGCTTCTCTCTCACATTGATCTTTCTCTCTCATTCTCCCTTCCTCTCTCTCTCAATTAGAATAAAATAAACCTTAAAAAAGAATAGTAAGTGCTTTAACAGCCAATAAAATGTTTACTTTATGTATTATGTTAGGCAGTACAGTACACTTTTATATTGAAAATGTTAAACTAATGCTCTTAAAAACAATCGTTTCACTTACCTAGATTGAAAACATAAATGTTCTAGGAAGATGATACGCAAATCAGAGCTACAGCAAGATTATTTATTTATAAAATAGATTAAGATTTAGAAAGTAATAACACCTCTCTTCCTGGTGTAGCTCAGCGGATTGAGTGCTGCCCTGAGAACCAGACAGCTGCTGGTTCGACTCGGGGTCAGGAGCACACGCTTGGATTGCGGGCCAGGTCCCCAGCTGGGGGCGTGCGAGAGGCAACCGGTTGTTTCTCTGACACATTGATGTTTCTCTCCCTCTCTTTGTCTCTCCCTTCCCCTTTCTCTAAAAATAAATAAAATCTTTTAAAAATAGCTTCATTATTAAAAAAAAGTAGTAACACCAATACTGTGATTGACTAGGAAGATGTGTAAACATTGTTGTTTGAGTGTAATTGGCAGCATCTTCCTACAGGAAAGTTTGGCCGCAGTTATCAAAGCCTTTCATTGTGTTTGTGCCATGTGACCCAGCAATTGTACTTCTGAGGGCTTACCCTGAGGAAATGGTCATGAATATTAAGAAATGTTTATCTCTAATAACACTTATAGCAGTATATAAAAATGAAATATTGGTTACAATCCAAATTCCTAAAAATGAGAGCTTACTTAAATAAGTTATAAAATATCTACATTATAATGATGCCCTCAGGAAAAAATACACCAACAAAATAAGGCTTGTCTCTGGTATTTGCAAATATGAATGACTTATTTTCTTCTTTGGCCTTTTGTATAACTTCCAAGTTATCCTCAGTGAATATTTTAGTGTGATTATAATGAAGTATAGCATTAGTTAAATCCTTAAAAGATTGAAAACAAAAGCAGTGTTTGGAAACGAGCTCTGAGTTAGCGGGCGGTACATTAGGAAGAGGAGAGTCAGATTCTAAGGACCTTGAAAGGCAGGCAGTTCACAGGAAACAGGATCTAAAGTTTCTAGGTGCTTTTCCTCCACCTTATTCCACATATACTTGTATATTCCAAAAAAGATAGCATTTTTAAGAAAAGGAATTCAGTGCTACTGTTACTTAGGTTAATAATAAAAGCTTTTTGATCAGAAGTCTGCCTATACAGCTTATTTTTATTTAAGAAAGAGCATGCTAGTTCCCATTTTCAAACCATGAGCAGTTAAAATAATAAATATCAAATGTACAACTGTACAAATTAGATTTTTGAATGCAAACCGTCAGACCTGACCTTTAGTTTTTCACCTTTATGTTAGCTGTTCCAGGTCATGTAGTGGATTCTTTTCTGAGTGTTAATAAGATAGAGAAGTTTGGTTAGTGTGTTGTGATTTAGACATTCTGTGGCAGAAGTCACCTGTCCTTGTGGCTGTCCTGTCCCTGTGTTCCTGGGGCTGAGAACCAGCTGTGACATGCATCGATGCGATGCGTGAGTATCACCGGTCTTGCCCTTAACTCGCCCTTAATCGGTGTCGCTGTTTTCTGCTTTTAGCTCCACCCAAGAACGTCAAAGCCCCCCCCGAGGATCAACCGAAGTCTGAAAACCTCGAGGTGTCCAGTTCCTTCAACTATAATGTGCTGCAGCATCTCGGCCAGTTCCCCCCCCTCATGCCCAACAAGCAGATTGCGGAGTCGGCCAACAGCAGCAGCCAGCAGAGCTCGGCGGGCAGCAAGCCCACCATGTCCTATGCCAGTGCTCTGCGGGCGCCCCCCAAGCCCAGGCCCCCGCCTGAGCAGGCCAAGAAGAGTAGCGACCCTCTGTCCCTGTTCCAGGAACTTAGCCTGGGGAGCTCGTCAGGCAGCAATGGCTTTTACTCCTATTTTAAATAATCACTTTTTTTTTCCTCAAGGGAGAATGTTTTAATTTCTGTTTGTGTCAGTAGAATTAAGAGTGCTGGACTTCATCTGTAGATGCACAGTTCCCTTTGTTTTAATATTAAATATGTTCTCACTTAATTGCTTTGCTGCTAGACTTGCAACTAATTTTTTAAAAGTATATTCCATTATTTTGCATTTTGATGTGTCGGAATTTTGACAGCTTTTATGTAGAATAAAAAATATTTTTAAATTTGTGTATTGTTACATATGTTTGCATTAAGCTAGCAGCTAAGAGGTTAATTGTGCAACTATAAAAAAAGAAAAAAGTTTGTCTAAAATGTATTTAAAAAGAAAAAAAAGTTGTAAGTAGCATTTACATTTATTCAATAATATTACCATATGCTGGGTTTCTGTACCAGAAATGACCAGTTGATGTACAAAATGTATGTTATTTTTGCTTAAATTCATTTAAAATTTTTTAAAATAAAGGGCAGCATCTTCTAAATACTTTTAAGTTTTATCAGCTTTTTTTTGGTGACAAGATGCTGCATTCTAAAACTTTTACAGTTTTAGACTCCATATGATGTGCTGATATAATCTCCATCCACTGTAGGATAGAGTTAGAGGCATTCTTTGCAGGTATGTTTTGTATGCCACTGTTTTTTGTAATGTGAAAAAACATGAGCATACTTAGTTATTTTTTTGGACAAGCTATACTTCAAGCTTGTTTTTAATGTTAATTTGATAGTGTGTTTTTTTTTTAAACAAATCATGAAGCTGAAAAATTTTTAGGATTGTTGGTGCTTAGTAGACTTGATAACTATTTTAAAAATGCGTGAATTTAGTAAAATCTTTTTTTCCTCACTATGCATGTGTAGATGTTTGTAATCTGGCTCCCCATCCCACTCCAGTGGTATAAAGACTTGTGCCGCTTTAAGGTTTTTTTCCCCCTCCAGCAAAAATTTTGGTACCTTATTTGATGTTTACATTACAATGTGACATTATAGATGGCAATTCAAATATTTTGCTAACTTTTGAGGAACATCGTTAAAAAAATGTATTTGTCAAAGATGCATCAAAATTCATCAAAATCTGGGGCAAAAAAACCACCCTTGTTTTTCATGTCTTTTGATTCTTCTAAAATAACCCCATTTAACTTGTACACAAATATAAACTTTAAATAGCTATCTTAAATATTCTACGGTCTAAAAATTGTTTTGAATGAACTTTGGTAAGATCCAAAGGAGAAAAATGTTTTACCCTCTTAAAACTTGTGGTCTTGTAACACATTTGAAGCAATGCATGTCCTTATTGTTTTCCTGAATTAGTATTACAATTTTTATACTTCAGAAGTATCTTGAAACTACAATATAACTTAAGAAAATAAGATGAGGTTGGGAAATACTGCAAGTGATCCAGCAGGTCCCGATGATCCATTCCAAAATGGTTTTTTGGAGGACTGCTTACGCTTCTAAAACAGGGTTGAAGAGTGGCGAGGGGGAAAGAGAGCTCCTTACAGCTCCGACAGGCCTGGAGTTGAGCTGGTGTCGGCCGGCCTCACCCCCGTAATCAATGCTCAGGCAGCGCAGGAGGAGACAGTGCCTGTGGTCAGAGGCTATCAAGAGGCAAGACACGTGGAGACCGCTGCCTCCCACTGAGTGCTCTCTGCCCAGAGCGCGGTTCCCTCGTACCTGGCTTCCTGGCCCGGTCGCAGGTCTCCTGTGTGGCGGCTGGCATGGACCTGGGACTGAGGCGTGTTATCGGTCAGCGTAGATCACAGCTGGGAGGCGGGGCCCGCCAGGTACAGCATCACGTTTCCTCTGTATGATGTCAGATGTTACCCAGCCCACTTTAGTCACCAGAGAAGAAGGGATACATTTTGCCATCTATGTATTTCCAACTCTGTGACAAAACCGAAGACATAGCCCAAATGAAAGCTAGGTCTCCCCAATGCGGGGATTTCTGGGAAAAATCCTCCTCTCGTCAATGGTGATTCTTCTCTCCCCAAACCTGCAGGCCTATCACACAGCCCGATGAATGTCCAAGAGCATGTGGGTAAATATGAAGACAGAACTGTCATGTCAGGGTGAACCCCTTGTCATGAACTACTTGCCTAATTTTCTGCTTTCCATACTTGAACCTTTAAAAAAAAGTATCAGTTTTTAAATTATTTATATTTATATTTACTTAAAGAGGTCATAGGCGCACCCCACCATCTATATAAATATATTGATAATGGCAGCTTGGATAAGGAAGCTGTTAAATTGTGACATCCCTCTTCTAAGCAGTTATTTCTTTAAAAACTAAAAATAATAGCCACTTACCAGTCCCCTGCTCTGCTGCACGTGTCTTGAGTGCTCATTTCCTCAACTGCATCCGGGCCAGCAGGAACGTGCGTGTTTCCTCCTGATCCTCTTTTAGGTTCTGTTTGATTGCTTGCGTAGCTCAACCTCTAGCAAGCTTACTCTCTCTCAGCAAGATTGTATCATGGTATCTGGAATGGTTTTGAGCAAGTCTTACTGCAGGAATCATTGCGCTTTTCCATTGAAATGACCCTTGGCTTCTAAGGAGCAGCAGCTGTGCTCTTTTGGTATTTTTGGGGTGGTATTAGCAAGTCCCTGCAAATCAGACTTATGAAACAGCTTATTTTATGGACTAGCCTCAACCCTAGAGTTCAGGGCTTTTTTTTTGTTTTGTTTTTTTAAGAAAACTTAATTTCAGCTCTTGGATAATACCAATTATTACCAACTTTCTTCTAGAACAGATTTCTTCTAAGTGACATTAGTTGGTCACATGGTATCTTCCTACTTCTATCCTTTGTATCATGCTGAAGTTCCCTTTCCCTTGCCAGAACTATTTTTTATTCATTTCACTTTTTAATTTCAGTGCTCCTGAGGGTTTTTTTATTTTTTTTTTTTTTACCTTAAATTCTTTTGGGTGATAGAATTTGTGATGTATTCATGCTAAAATTTTTTTCCTGATCTAAAAATTAGTACTATTTTGTTAAGATTTGAAGGGCCTCATTCAGTGTGCCATAGCTGTTTCCTGGTGGTGTGGTGGTCATTTGGGCATACGCCTTGCCCAGTTGGTATAGCAGAACTTTGCTTTTGGTTAATCAGTAGTTAATTATTGACCATTTAAACTAACATGACCTTAATTTTCCTTTCCTCAGACAGATAGGCTTTCTATCTAGGTCATTTTGTATGTATGAAATAACAAACTGCTTTGTGGGTTTTTTCATTAGAGAGTCTAGAGTAAGTTCAGGTTTGGTATAAACATCAATGGGTCTTTTCAGTTCAAAGAGTTGCAAAATAAGTAAAATAAGCAGAATTCCCACTGAATAAGCATTACCTAATTAAACATAGCGCTCTCTAAGACCGGTTTGTGAAATAGCTTCCTTCTTTATGGAGGCATTGACATTGCTGGGAAAGCTAAATGAATTTTTTAACTTTAAGATAATTAATATATACTGTTATCTTGCTCTAGTGTAGCTGATTTTTCATGTTTAATATTTTTCATGAATACATCTCAAGAGCAAAGCTCTACACATATAAAAATGTATCTCGAGATAACTTGGCTAGATAGAGTCACCTTGCCAAAGGGCCAGGGTGTGAAAAACAGTTTCAAGATAGTTTAGATATCCACTATTGTTATTAAGAAAATTAGATTTACAGAAAAAGCCATTTAAAAAGAGACACCTGGTATACTTAGCATTTTTTCCCCCCTATTGGAGTTGTTTTTAAAAAGGGAATCCCAGAAAATGTCAATAAAAATAGAGGATTAAAACATGTATTGAAAGATACAAATTGCTGCCTTAAAATGTTATTTAGATACTATTTGGTTTATTTTCTTCTAGCTCCAGAAAGATAGTAATTTGTCTTTTAGGATTTATGAGACATTATTTCTTGCTAACTGTCCCCTTAACATATGAAAACCCTTCATTTCTAACACCACTGTATGTGTCTTCCTAAATCTCAAGGAAATGTTTTACTGGATCTGATTTTTTTTTTCTTTCTCCTTTTTGCTACCTGATCTACAAACTACCTAGCAGTTGGAAATAATGGATAATGTCTTAACTATGATTTCTTGTTCAAAACATCACTTCCGTGAGGTCCACCACATACGAAGATACCAAGAGCGAGTGGCATGTTAGTCTCCACTGTGCTCATTCTCTTAGGCTTCTCATGTTTTCCATCTACTGGAGGCTGGAGATTTATTTGCTGAGATTTTACTGTAAAGCTGCTGTACTCAACTTACTACTTTCATACCTGTTTAATGAGCAGCTTTAAGACCATTGTTACAAGAAGTGAATTTTATTAATGTTTAGCATTCTTATAAAACACATGCAGAAGATGGCATTGTAATTACTTTAAACTAGAATATCAGATTAAACAGATTGAAAAATTTTTAATGTAACACTTAAAATTTTTGAAATGATTGAAAATGTCTACTTTGGACATTTGACTTGAAGGAAACAGTCACAGGAGTTTATAAATGTTTTCTGAAGGGAGGTACCAAACAGAAGAACCTGGTGAAATCCTAAATCCAGTTATACAGTAGTAGTCTAAAGTGTCTAGAACTGGAGTGTTAAGAAAACCCAGAGACATGCGTATACTTAGAGTTTCGGTAATCAGAGTATTAGACCAGACTTTATTTGCAATTTGTTCAACAGAGAGATTTTATTTTGATACACATATTAAGCATAAAGCATAGTAAGTTTTATATAATTCTATGAGTTCATTAAACGATATTACGGAATTTTCATTATGTCCTTGGGGAGTCTTTTTAGCTATTTCTACACCTCATTATATGAGGTCTTTTCTGTATTTTATTTTGCATTCTAGCATGTGACTGCCTGCCTTAGAACTATGTATAGGAGGAGAAATCAGTATTACTCTAAAAAAAATTTGATTCTTTTTGAAATTTTTTTTCATTACTTTTTTTTTTTTTTTTTTTTTGATGTTTGAGGGAGTAAGGGGAAGGGGTGGCAAATTACATAGGTCTCAACACAGAACAGAAGTCACACAAAGGTGTCTGTTCAGGAATCTGTCCTGTTTTAAGACTTTAGAATTTCAAGCATGATAGAGCAGTGGTCTCAAACTTGAGCCGTACCTGGAGGTCTTATTAAAATACAGATTGCCGGACTCTGTCCCCAGAGTTTCTGGTGTCAGGCTGGAGTCCGGTCGCTCCCAGCATGTTCCCAGGCCATGCTGACGCTGCTGGCCCAGGTACCACCCTTTGAGAACCACTGGTCTAGAGAAAGTCTGAAGGTCTTTTCAACCACGCATCCATTTACTCAGTATAAAAACAGAGCTCTTGAGACATTTTTATAACTCTGAAGCCATGAGTGAAGAAGGAACTCTGGAGTGACGAGCCCTTTGGATTGGCTGCCGCCCTGTCCCTTTGCCGCGCCCTCTAGGGGCTGGGCTCCTCTTCAGCGTGAAGGTGCAGAAGCTCTTTAATTTCTAGGGCGAGTTTGGATTTGTGTTTGCTGCAGCTTGGGCTTTGGTCTGGAAACTGCGTTGGTTTGATGTGCACAGAGTCGGTCTTGATATCCATACACATGGAGACGAGAATTGTCAAAGGAAGCCATCTGAATGTCATGAGGATGCACTTGGCACTAAGTACAGGAAGGCCCTGTCCTAAGGTGGCAGTGATATGGAAAACAATAGATGATCCCCGAATAAAGCATTTGTAGTTTTTATTGGGGGGCAAGGGGATTGAGCGCAAAGGATTTCTTTTCAAATTATGTATTTCTCAGGTTAATGAAATTATTTTGGATTCTCTGCTATGTAGCTGGTGTTAGAGAGGCTGAAGTGATGAACATGGCAGAAAATGGATAATCGTCTCTGATTACTTTGCTACCTTAAAAAAAATCTATATATGTTTGCGAAAACAGTCTAGGGGAGTCTGCCACCTACACAGCATGAGTTATTCATAAACCATAGGTGCACATGGACGAGCAAGTTATTTTTGAGAAGGAAACTGTCTGATACAATAAACCAAACAGGTCTTTGGATATTTTAAAGTTTGTGTTGTCATTGTTAATATTCCCCTCTGGACTGTATCTTGGGTATTGGGCTCTGTCTCTGGTTTTTAGTTTGGCTATGAATTTACTGAGATACTAGAAAGAAAAAAATATTTTTAAGAGAACAGATTGTAGAACGACTTAGACATAGAAGTCCAGACGATAAGCATCGTAGAACACAGCGCTTTGGAGTTCTTAACACAGTACTTCCTACTCGTAAGGCTTGAGGCCCATCCGTGGGGATTGTTCATTGTTCAGCACAGGTTACTTTATCCACTTCCAACTCACAGGGAGCTTTGTTTTATTTACATTCTGCTTTGCACGATGCCTTTTATGCAAAAACCTTTGTAAACCTCTGTCTTTCCATAAGTCAGAGGGCTCCTTTGTCCTCGTTGAAGTCCTAACGTGTCAGTCACAGCTGAGAATTCTCAGCTGCTCTCCTGCCCCATGCAGAGGAAGGGTCTTGGATTTTCATGCATCCAGACCGTGCCTGCTTCCTATAACTCCATGTATATGACATTGTACTGTATCCGTCTTCTGTGCCAGTCATCTGACCTGATTCTTTGAAACCCATGAAGGTACTGGTTATACGTAGTAGTTGTATTTTAGGTAAATACAGTGATTGAAATACCTCTCCTCTAAATTATAAAGGTAATGAATTTTGCTTTGCATTTTATTAAAGAGTCCTGTTATTAGTGGCATAGTTCTTTTTAATGCTTCAAAAATATAGTTCTTATCTAAACTTGTTCAACTAACTTCATATGATCAATTATTTAGCAAATTCATATTGGATCTTATTTTGGCAAGTTTTCCAAAGGGAGGCTGATGTAAGACTGAGAGGGTCAATATCCGTCTCTTATTTGTACAGCCATCTAATCATAATTTATGGGAAAATTATAACAACATTTTTTTTCTGAAGTTAATGATACCTCATGGGAGAGGTTCTAGTACCTGAAGAGTAAGATAACCCAAAGCCACTCTCTGGGGTTTTTATTTTCTCCCCCCCACCTTTTTTTTTTTGTCAGTTTCTTCTTTCTTTTTTTTAACTTAGTTTTGGAATTACTTTAGCCACTTTGGTTCCTTAGAACAAGTTTTCAATTTGGATATCTACAGTTCCTACATTGTGATCATTGTCTCGGTGAAATTCTTTTGTTTTAAAAGATTCGTGGTAACACAAAATGTATTTTACTGCTACAACTAAAATGTATTTATAATAAAATGCCTTTTTAATAATTTGGAGATTTGTTTATTATTGTGAACCAGCATTTCCTGCCTCCTTTTATTTTTAAGATCAAAGGGCCTGACAGAAGGTCAGCTCAGCACTTGGCTTTTATTCATAATACTAATCGGTACAGCTCGCTCAGGTAAAGGAACTGAGCGTCAATTTGAAAAATTGTAACTCCCATTTCCAGAAATTTGTGACGTGACTTAAATCTCCAAACATTAGCAGTAGCAAAGGCCTAAAGGATTAGAGTATTATCTGAAAGTTTAAAAATCATCAGTGGTCAGTGAGAAAATGAGCCCTTTTCAAATTGTCGTTCAACACAGATCTTAGGAATTTAACACAATTATCATGAATTACTCTCAGCAAGCCACTTGTTAATGCTGGGCTTTTGCAGCCCAAAATTTATTTCAGAACTCGTAAACGTAGATCCTATCACTGCATTACGAGGGTATAATAAATAATACACGTGACGGTGGTATGTGACAAGCATGACTTCAGCTACCTCGCCTCCCTTTATCTGCACCCCCAAAACGCTAGCTGTGCAGAAAATTGCCCTGAGTCAGGGTCTTGTTTTTGTTGGGGAAATCATTCTTTGCATCTGCTGTGATGCAATTTTGAGAAGCATTAGCAGGTCACAGAGTGCTTTGTGTGCCCTGGCTATTTTATTTT